AGGGAACCATCCTAATCTCCCTAATCCAACTGTATTTCCACCGCTCTCCATTTGATTGCACGATGCTTGTTAGATCTACAGCGATGGCTGATAGGTGGAATCGCTGTGTTTTATTGAGTAGCACATGCAATTCGTTAATTTGGGAGCTGGCAGGAGCACGCCGCAGCGGGGCGATGCAAATATTGTTGCTTCCAGCAGTGGCAATAGAGACTGAAACAGGGATAATGTGCACTGATTGTATCCAGCGTGAACACAACAGGAGCAATCATGCAGGTAATTCAGCTGATTTGTGTCTCTGCTTGACTCTTACCTTATTCTACATGGAGGGGGCTGGACCCTCAAGCAGAAGTGGGATGAAGTGGTGGCAGGAGCATGGAGGTAATGATGGGCTTGTGGCTTATTTGAAGTAACTACAAATGTTAAACACAAAGATCTGTCCAGAAGACCCCATCACCTGAAGGTCCCTGCCTCCAGCCCAGCCAGGTGGTGACACTTCACCACTACTGCATGGTCCCAGGTGTTGCATGAGAGCCCTTTGCTCCTCAACCAACAGCCTCCTGCAGCTCCTCAGCTCCATCCCCACATCCCTGCAGCAGGGGTGGGCAGTCAGGCCAACTGCTGAACGGCCGAGTACCGCTGTCCATGGGCAACAAGGGGGCTTCAGGAGCAGGGTACATGGGCATGGGGAGACAAATGGTCCTGGCCATGTGGTGTTTGGGAACAGAGGGGGCCTCACCTGCTCAGTTCTTTTCTTTTCAAAAAAATCCCAAATCCCATTAAGGCCCGGGTGTTTGAAGGATCTGTGGCCCTGCAGAGCTTTTCTCTGCTGCTGTTCTACCCCACACACTGATCAAGGACACTTATAGTGATGCTGCTGGCTGTTTATTTGGAATCGCCCATCAGGTTGGCAATGGGGTAAAGCTGCAAAACCACATCTTCTGGGTTTATAAACGTGTGTGTTTCTTCCTTCGTTTACAGCTGTATCCCTTAATCACTGATCGCTCACATTTCCCCCTGCCCTCCCCAGTCAGACTGAGCTCGCAGTGCAGGACGGGCACTCTCAGCCCCACGGACATCGCAGGGATGGAGCCCTGATGAAACCTTCAGTGGGACATACTCTGCCTCAGGTCATACCCAAAACCCTCCTGGCTTCCTCAAGCCTCTGGTCTGCAGGCAGGTGGACTCTTATGATCACCTGCACCCAGTCGTGCTCAGGGAGGCCGGGTGAGATTGGAGATGCTGTCTGAATGAGAAAAAAATAGTCTGAGTCTTGTCTGACAGTCAAAATCAACAGCTGTGTCTAACCATTAGTCTCATTATCCTCTTGAAATAGATAAGCTAATAAGTATGTTCTTAATAAGTGGGTTTTTTCCGAGCCAGGTTCTCATTTGTTTTACCTGCACTGGGCTATGCATGTTACTCTGCAACTGATTCTTGCTGTTCTTTGGCAAGTAGTTCTTCTGCAAGGTGAGAAGGGGCAGAACTGGCTGGTGTCACTCCATGGGCTACCCCATCACATATCTGGCCACTCCATTAACTTTTTCCTGACCTCAAGGCTCTCCTTCTGTCCTCCTAGGGCTTCCCCCTCCTCTCCCCACCCAGAATTTACATAGCAGCTGCAAGCACCCCCTTTTTTTGCCTAATTTTAAACTTCTACAAATGAAGGAAGATCATGTCCTTGTGCACGTGGCAATTTGCAAAAGGGAGAGGAAAGGAGAGGCTACAATACAGTTGTGTGACGCACACTTGTCTTCATGGCTGTCAGCAATAAAGTGTCAAAAAGAGGCTAAAACATCCTGCAAAGTCATTCCTACAAAAGCTTTTGCCTCCTTAGGTTCAGGGTTTGCAGGGAGAAAGGAGCCATGCCCCTAACAGTGGCTGCTGAAATAACTGCATTGAAGCTTGGCCTGATTGAGATGTTGGGTTGGGTTCATTGAGCAAATGTCTGTACTTCTTCCCCGCAGCTCCTACGAGAGCAAGGGTTGGTCCCAGAGTCACTGGATGCCGGATGGCCCCTGCGGTCTCAGAAGAGTCCATATTGCTTCTTCTCGTTCTGCTGCTTCCATTTGGGCATCTGGTAGAACTCGTCCTTGGACTTCCCAAAGATATCGTGGAAATCAGCATCAGAGAGATAGTACTGCAGTGGGAGGAGAGAGCAAGGAGATGTTGGCTTTGGCTTTTGCAGAGGCTGGGACACCTCCATCGGCTGCATCCCTTCCTCACTGTGCCAGTGGTGACCCCTGACTCCAGGCCAACAGCTCCTGTCCTTGTGGTGGGAAGTGGAATGTCCCAGCAACTGTTCCTCATCCCGCTTCTCAAAGCACCAGGGGAATAAAAGCCCACCAGCCCAAAGGGATGCCCTGGTTTTGAGGGGTTAGCATGCTCTGGCTGGAATTTGGTCCTTGCTAATCATACTGAGGCCAGAGCAATTAATGGTGCGTTGAAGAACTTCTGTTGGCCAAAGTTTTGGGTAGTTTCTTAGGTATGATTCACAGTGAAAGCATCTCCCCCTCGCTCAGTTCCG